GCAGGGGAGTGTGAGCTCTGTGGGGTCCTTGGGGGGGACAGGCAAGCACACCTGATGGGCCCTGGAGGAGATGCAGCTCAGGGACTTATCTCGGGGAGCGGGTCGCTGTCGGAAACGTCTGCCTTATGTATAGCGCATGTACAGACAGTGCTTCTGCAATCACAAAGGAAAAAAAAAGGAGGAAACAAAAGTCCCAGAGGCCAGTGTCTTCGAGCTGCCCTTCAGAACGTCTGTGTCGCCTGGACGGAAGTCCAGTTTCGTGACATCTGGGAGGCGTTTTTAAGACGACTACTTTCCGAAACACGTTTTGCCCCAGTGAAAACCGGTCAGCAAGCTGTGGGGCTCCTCCTCCCACGCCCACGCTGCAGCGGGGCCCACCCTCATGCAGACTTGGGGTGGGGGCTCCCGCCTCCCGCAGAGCCTGCCCTCCAGGTCCTTTCTGCTTCCCAAATCCCGGAGGGTGCGATCTGGGAAGGGGGCTCCGTGTGCCCGCACTGGCTGGGTGGTGCCCAGCAGGCACATCCAAGAAACATTCACTGTGAACCCTCAAAGGGCCCCCCAAGATGTACCCGAGAACCAGGAAACGCCACTCCCAGCAGCTCTGCAATGGAGACAGGAACTTAAGTACAAGCTTCATTCAACTTTGTCTCAACAGCTTAGAGCCAAAAAAACCCAAAAAACAATAACCAACAAAAACAAAAAATAACAGCGTGGCAGAGATTTGGGCAGAAGGGAAAATGTAAAGGACATGGAGGCCCCACCTTCCTGTGTGGATGAACCAATTTCTACTTCTCCTAAGCTTTCAGATAAGGACAGGGACCAGGTGGGTGGGGGCGGGGCAGGGGGCTGTGAGGTCTACAGGTACAGGTGCGGGGCGGGCGGGGGAGGGCAGGAGGAAGACGGCCCTCCAGGTGACCCACAAATGGCGAGGCCCCTATGCCAGCCGGGGAGCGTCTCTGCTTGGTGTGGTTTAGCCCCCCCGAGAACCACACCCCTCTCCAGATGGGGCTGAGAGCGCGGGGCGAGGCTGCAGCCAGACACCGTTAAGCGAGAAAAACCACTCAAGGAAGGGTCCAGAGTCTGCCAGAGAAACGAAAGCAGTTCTACGGTGGACCTGACAACCTCCAGACTCCGAGCTATCCGACACTGCGAAACAAAACAATCTGAGTCGGGGCTGAATTTTATCTGCTTCAAGGTCACGATTAGCAGTAGTTCAGATTCTGAAGTCAGTTGCTTTTTCTTTTGGATCATGTTCCGCGAACCTCTGCCAAATTTTAGCCAACAAATTACTTTTGTTTTTGGTCTCTACATTAGAAAAATCAAGAAAAGCCTTCCTAGAGATAGAGCTTACAAAATCTTGCTCTTAATGGGTAATTTAGTTATTCTGTTATGCTTTCTCTCTGGTTTTATTTCTGCAGTTTTCTTAAAACTCTAGCTGAAAGGAACACTTTTAGGCTTGTCTCTGTTTTTGCAATACCTAGAAAATGATTAACCAATTTCTTCTTTCCTAAAAACACTTCTTTGCAAAACAGAAAAAAAAAAAAAGTCAACAAAATACTGCTTAAGACAGCAAAATTGACTTCAAAGTGAGTTCATTCATTTTCTGGGTGGAGTACTTTAGGGCAAGAAAAAAAAGAAAAAAAAAAACAAAACCACACACACAACAGAGGGGAAGCACAGAAGGCCAGGGAGGAAGGGGCTGGTCCGGGAGGGCAGGGCGGGGGCTCTTCACCCAGAGAACTGCCCACAGGTAGAGCCCCTCCCCAAGTCCTGGGTGGGAGGGGCACAGGGCAAGGTGCAGGAGACCGGGGGGCAGGGGGAACCAACCCCCACCAAGCCTCACCGAGGTCTGGGCTGCAGGGACCCAGCTGGCCAATGGGGTGAGCAGGGCACAGTCACACCAAATTAGGAGAACAGAGCGGGGGAGGGCGCCCCGGGCTGCCGCCTGTTCTTATAAAGGACCCTCCCCCGGCGCCAGCTTCCCTGGGGACCCGCTTAGCTCCTGCACCTTTGGAGAGGGGGGCTGCCGGCCCTGGTCTCCTGGGGAGGGTCCTGGATTGGAGAGGAAGGGCGAGCCCAGGCTGTTTGTAAATACTCGGGCTCCTCCCCTATGATGAAAAGGATCTTGGCAAGCAAAACCTCAAGGGCCTCTGAGGTTTCTAAAACACTCTGTTGAATTCCGCAGTGCTAAGATAAACGGATGTAAACAGAAACCCTTTTGTGTGACACTTAATTAAAGGCCAAAAAGTGAGAAAGCCTGCCCCAAAGTTATTACTCTCTCTGAAAATATTTTACCAAATGAAAACAAGAAGCTGTCCCTCGTGGGCGGCCCTCAAACAAAAGGACATGGGCGGGACAGCGCCGCCCCCTCCTGACTGACTCTAGGGCAAGAGCAAGTTAAATATAAATCGAGTGGCCAGTCACACCACTGCCCAGCCGTTCCAGCCACACCTGCCTCCTTCTGCTTCCTAGGAATCTCTTCTTAACGCCTGTGTGAACCACCGCCCCTAAAACAGAAAAGCAACTTCAACTCGCGAAGGGTGCTGGAGCGCCCTAACCAGCCGGCTACCATGCTCATTTAAAATATGGCCGCGAAATATGCTTGTATCACGTCGTCCCCTAGGTACAAACTCAAACACCTTCTTCCTTAAAGAGCATCTCTACATCGACGATTAATAATCCGGCGCCAGTCTGAGGCTGACCGGTCAGCCTGCGGTGCTCTTCACGTGCAGAAGGCAGGCCTTTTGCTGCCACCTGATGGAGCACGGGACACGTCCCACGAGCCTCGGCGCCCAGCAGCAAGGAAACGCTGCCGAATGTTGCCGCGGCAGCAATGAGGGGATCCTGGGTACACGTGTCAGTGTGTGTGTTTGTCATCAGCTTCACTGAGTCACAGTTCGCCCATTCAGACTGTGCCACTCAGTCGTGTGACCCAGAACGTTTGCTTCGCCCGGGGAAGGAACCCCGTCACGGTCAGCAGTTACCCCCTTTGGCCAGGCCCTGGCAGCCACTCCCGACTTCCCCTGAAGATTTGCCAGTTCCGCACACTTCCTATCCACGGGATCACACAACGTGTGGCCTTCCGTGCCCGGCTTCCCTCACTCGGCTCCGTGTTCCCAAGGGTCACCCGTGTTGAGCCAGGTATCAGCACTTGTGCCTTCTGATGGCTGAATACCATTCCACTGCAGGGACACCCACATCCCACGTGCCCACCGTCAGCCAGGGGATGTCCAGACCGCTCCTGCGAGCCTTGGCCTACGTGGTCCCTGCGGACCTCACGGGCCGGTGAGCTGCTGGGCCACACGGAGCTCTGCTCCAAGGGGGCTGCATCGTTTTACTGCATGAAATTTGTAACGTGTAAGTTACACACACGTAAGTAAACGTGAGAGCATTTTCACAGCACAGCCTAGTCGTGAACTCGTATGGAATCCTCATGCTTTACATGAAATTCCAGTTAGATGTCTGGGAAAAACGAGATCACATGCTAAATTCTGGGTTTACAACAGAGCCAGCTACTGCTAGAAATCCGAAAGGAGCTTAGAAGAAACGGTGCATCACGTAGAGCTGTAAAGAGCAAGTAAAATCACGCGTGTGCCGTGCTGGGTACCGGGTCCAGCACGCACGAAGCTGTCAGAGCATCACCGCTCATCAGGGCCATCACGACTACGATGGACGTAACCAGGGCTGGCCGCACGGAGAACAGAGCGCTCACTGGCTTCATCCGTGGAAAAACAGGCCCGTGAGTGTGCAGGGCCCTGCCCCGCTGCACCAGAACCAGGGTTCAGGCCCCAGGCCGAACTCTGGGCCGGCCGCGCTCAGTGCTGCCCCCGAGCTCCCTCTGCAGGAGAGAGACGCACCTCCTCACAGGCTCCAGAGGGACCAACTCCCAGCAACGCGATGCAGACAAAGCCCAGCGTGCAGCCAACATGCCACGGGGGGAGGCAAGGGCGCGAGTGGCACACGGACTATGACACAGGGACGAACCGGCAAGTGACTCCCGACGCGAGCCTCCACGGGTGCGGACACGGGGACCCCCTGAGCACGGCTGGTCAGCGAGAAAACGGCCTCGCACCTGGTGAGACGGACGGACAGCAAGACTAGCCGCTGGAGCCGTGAGTCCCCAAGTGCGGTCCCCAGCTGTGCCCCTGAGGAGCCCGGAGACCCTTCCGGGGCGTGTGAGGGCACGGCTCTGTCACACCTGCACTAAGGCACGCTGTGCCTCTTCCACGGGCTCCGCGGGCACCGATGACGTGCAGCCCCGGTGCCAACGGCTGCTCGTGGGCCTGGCACCTGCAGGTGCCACACGCAGTAAGGGGGGAAATGCCAGGTCCATCTTCAAATGTCCTTAATGAAGCACGTAAACTTTTTAAAACGTATTAAATCTTGACCCTCGAACGCACGTCTCTTCACTAGGCTTTGTGACGAAATGGGACGAAGGCAGGACTGCCACGGAGACGCGACAGTGGCTGTCATGAGAAGCACCTGTGCCACTGCGGGCTGACGGGGCCCAGCGGGACAGCCTGACGTGGACCCTCCCCCCAGGCTGCGACACGCCAAGGATGAGAGAGCTGGGGGCCTTTCCCTTTCCAAATCTAGATGAATTTCTAAAACTTCACAAAGACTTTCCACAAGTAAATTTTAGAAAAACAAAGTTTACCAAATCCTGGTATACAAATATACTTAAAAATACTTTCAATGTCTTTTAAAAAAATCATACCTGTGAACGCTGTCAAAGGCCCTAGCATACAAAGTTTCAAACTGGCAAAGTGACGAATTAGGTAGCGAGTCTTCGCTTTATAAGGGAGTTCTCCAGAGACTTATTTAGGGAGGTCCCCTGATGTTCTTAAAATAGTTTCAGATTTTCCATCCACATGCCATTTTCCAGAAACATTTCTAACGCTGGGTAAAACATGGAACGTCTGTGTCATTTCCCCTTCCTGACAAACTGCCAGTGCACGGGGACCCCAGCTTTGGAGGGGAGCCGGCGGCGGGCTGCTCACCTGATGGTGCCGGTCGGGGAGGGGACGGGGCTGACCAGGCTCCGGAGGTCGGGCTCGGGGATGTGGATCCTCAGCGGGGAGATCTGCGGGTAGAGCGGCCGGAGGGGCGACGCCGGGGCCTCCTCCTGGTGGAACAGCGCCGTGAACTGGATCTTGATGGCCGTGCTGGGGAATCGGAACGTGCACCTGTGACAGGAGGGAGCGCGTCAGGCAGGGACGTGAACGCGGGGCGTGCCGGCGCCCCAGCGGCTGCGACTTATGTCACCCGTCCCCGACCACGCTGCGGTTCGCGTCCCGGAATCCAGTCTTACGCTCTCGTCAGGACACCCCCAGCACTGAAGCCAGAGTCCTTTTCCTGTGCCTGTGAACAGGAGAGACACAGACATCCCCAAATACCTAGGCTGTCGTCTCCAACAGACGTGCCGGACAGACAGACTGACTCCCGCCCACTGTGATCGCCACTGCCTCACCGCGTGGGGCTCGCTGCCCGCGGAGCGCCGTGAACACCGCTCACGCAGCGGCGCTCCAGACAGAAGACAGGGCGCGGACGGCGCCGACCAGAACGGCACCGCGGCCCACAACCGTGCTGGCGGGAGCTGGGGGGTCAGCATGGCGGACGCGGAGGGTGACCGCACTGGGCCCACTTTCCTCCACGCGCAGATGGCCACACGCCAACAGACGCAGCACTGACCTAGGTGCCGGCAGCCTCGCGAATCACGTGTGCGTGAACCCGGGGGGTCCTCCACTAAGAAACGGGGACCTCGAGAACCTGGGCATTGTTTACCCAGCACACCTTCCAGAAATCTCAACCGTTACCAGCAAGTTGCTCACTGTCACAATGGCTTAGTTAAGAACGAGCCCAAAAGAGAGCGCAGGCTGCTACACACACACATGCACGCACACACACGCACATACACACATGCACGCACACACACCACACACACACACGCACACACATACAAGTTACCAGCAAGTTGCTCACTGTCACGATGGCTCAGTTAAGAATGAGCCCAAACGAGAGCACAGGCTGCTACACACACACACACACGCACGTACACACACACACGCGCGCGCGCACACACACACGCACCACACACACGCACACACACGGCGACAGCTCACGGCAGCAGCTGCTCAGAAAAGGTGCTTTGTAAAACACGGTGGGGACGGGGCTTGGGAATAACGCACATACACATCCATCCTCAGCGCACACTCAGCCAAAGGCGTTCCGATCGCGCCGCGTGACCCGATACTGAGGCCTCGGCCTCCCGCGTGGACCGGCCGCCTGCAGGCCGCTCAGTGGCCACGTTTCAACAGCGAATCTTCCCCAACCTCCCGCGGACACGGCAAACACCCCTTCATTTGAGTTCCCTTTTTTCCCTGGTAAACTAGAAAAACCGTGTGGCTTCAGGCCTACAACAGGGGTCCCAAGACAGACGGGGTTTCAGGGTGAAGACGAGAGGGGTCACACGGTCCAGAGGGAAGCCTCGGCCTGGGGGTCTGAACATGGGGCTCTCGTCAGAGCCTGCGTGGCCCCAGGCGCAGGCGGGGAGAGGAGCTGGGTCAGCAGGACCCACATCAGAGCCCGTCCCTGCCCTCCACGTCTCAGCGTCTCCTGCCTTCACGGCCGGTGGAGAAGCACCCAGGGGTGCGTGCGTGAGGCGTGGGATGCCACGTGGAGTCGCGGGGGAGCGGGCCTGACCCGCCCACGGCGCCCTCCGTGTTCTCAGCTCGCAGAACGAGACGCTTCGAACAGGAGAGACCGTCGCCCAGGTTCTTCCCAGTTCGAGACCCTAAGATTCTAGAAACAGGTGCGCACAGGCCGAGACTTCCGTCGAACACAGCGTGTGTTACAGGTCAGAGACCTGAGCATGTCGCTCGCAGCAAACGAACGCCACCAGGAACTGGTGCTAGGTCGGCTTCCGACTAACAGTTCCCTTCCAATTAAGGCTGAACGACAAACAGTCTCACGTTATGTACTGCAACAGCTATTTCCAAAGCATCTCCTGACTCACTCTTCCAAAAATTATCCTGAGGCGGACTATCTGCTACCCAGGAGGTGGTGAAGACACCAGGGAGCTGCTTAGTTTTAAACAGACGTCTCCCCAGGGTGCTGGCGCAGTATGCCAGTCACCCTCCCTGTAACATTTTCATTCTGGTTTCGGGCCCTAGCCAGAGTTTTAATGAGCATGTTTTGCAATTAAAGCTATTCTCTTATAGGTGCTCCATAGTCACCCTAAACGCAGCCACACGCCACATGTCACACGCCTGTCGGGATGCGATGCCCGTGCGGGCAGGACGTGCCGGCCGGGACCGCCCAGCCGCGGGGGAGGCTCCCGCGGCAAGCATGGCTCCCGGGAGGGCGACCGTGTCAGATCTCTAGAAAATTCTGCCTGACTTACAGAAGCAGAAGGTCGTTTGGTGGCAGCCGAGGGCTGGGGCTGGGGGTGCGGGGTGGGCCGGGGTTCCTGCCAGGGGCGATACACGTGTTTCTTGGGACATCTGTGATAAAAACTAAACCTAAACCCAACGCTAGACCGCCAGAGTGCTCCCTGGGGACCGGATGCACACACTCCGGCGCACGGCCCACGCTCCCCGAGGAGGCGCGGCGCGTGGCCGTTTACGAGGACACGTACAGCACCGGGGTCTCCGGGCAGTTCTTGCAATGCGCCAGCCCCGTTTCCCTCGTCGGGAAGGCTGGGGGGACTAGCTTGTGCTTCACGGGGTCCTCGCGAGCATTCAGTGGGAAGTCCAAGCAAAGACACCAGACACGCACGCCATCTGACACACGAAGCGCTCGCGAAAAACTGGCCCACGGAGGGCATGAAACGTGAGGCGCACGGATAAGTGAAAATGGCAGAGACCACATGGTACAGGCCGTGACTACAGGCGCAGGACTCGAAACAGACAGACGTGGTTCGAGAACGGGCTGTAGCGACAGTGTGCGGGGCCCTGGGCCAGCGACGGACTCTGAGGCCCTCGCCGGACGACCAGGGTCACTCAGGCCTCAGTGAGGCAGGAGCTCAGCGGCGGTGACAGCAGACCGAGCGCAGGCTTGGCACCCAACGAGCGGCGATGGCCTGTGTCCCCCAGTGGTCCCTGGTGAACATGGGGACCGACGGGCAAAGACGGACTCGGGGACAGGGCGGCACGGAGACCGAGTGTCCTTTGCATGTTGTCATCTTGTCTTTGAGACATAAGAGATTCAGGAACAGAAAACGAAGCTGTTACACGTTGCAAGGGGCATGCATCTCAGACCTCGCGAGTGTTAAACCCGGCCCAGTCCTGCCTGTGCTCTGGCTCCGGGGCAGGGAGAAGGGCCACGCCCGGCGGGACCGGTCCCCAGGCCCCAGGACTCTGAAGGAAGGGCGGGGAAGCCAGCGTGACTCAGCAGACAACCGCAGGGCCTCCGTGGCCCTCCCACCCCCCCTGTTCTGGTCTGCTCCAGGCACACGCCATCAGGCACCGTCGGGTGGGTGGGCCTGTGCCACAAGCCCCCATCCTTTACGTAAGGTCTGAAATTAGAGCGCCAGAGCACGAGACGCTGAGATCCGTCAGCGCTCCACAGAAAAATCAGACTGCTCAGGAAGTGGTTTTGAAAAAAATGTTTACATATAAAATTCCCAAACCAAAGGATTCCTAAATTTTTAACCTAAAATTTCTAATTCTGGCAAAAACTTGATACGTTTTTCTAGAACGGCTGTGGGGCCTGTCACGCTGCATAGACACGCTCAAGTGCAATGACGAGCCGCTCCGGGTCCCGTTCACCTTTTCCCTCTGTGCCGACTTAAAGAAAACGACCTTTCTACAGATCTTACGACGTGGCCCCTGGAACTTAAGTCACCGTTATTCATCAAGTGCCTGACTGACACGGCGCGACACAGCCTCGTCCCTGGGGACTAATGTTCTTTAAGGTTTGATTCCCAAAGGCCACCTCCAGGGAGCCTTCCTGGATTGCCCCTGCTCGTGCCCCCGTGATGGGCTCAGGGTTACTTCGCCGGGCAGGTTTCGTCCCCCTTACTGGCCTGCAAGGCCCTGGGGGTGAGGGCGGCACCGCTGCTGCTCTGCTCTCTCCGGCCGGCGGGCGGTCCACCCACAGCACACGCGTGTCTGCACGCATGGTAGGAGGTCACCACGTGCGTTTCTGTCTGCCACTTAGGGCCCAGCAGGAGGTAAAGGCACGCGGCAGACTAGGAAAAGCGCCATGCTCCCCACGGACGGCTGGGAGCCGCCCGCCCAGCCGCTGGGACCCGCGTCCACCATTTTCGAAAGGGCCCACGAGAAGAGAGCCACGCTGAGCCACCGCCCGGGGCCTGGGCGTCCCGCCTGCAGAAGTGGCAGCCCTCTGGTGTCCCCTGGGCCAGGCTGCCGCGAGGCCGAGGTGTCACTCAAATGGGGACTGGAGTAGTCTGCGCCGCGGTCCACACCTGCTGTCCTAACACTGGTCTGAGCCCTGGACGGCGGGGCACGTAAGCATGAAGAGGAGGCCGCTGGGCGGGGAGGCCCAGAAAGAGTCTGACGTGACTAGAAGAGAAACTGGCCCCAAACAAGTAACAGTCGCACGGACGCTGAATGAGTCCGTCCCGAGAGCACGGGCCACGCGCTGCCTCGGGTCCCGCACCCTCGCCCTGCTCGACGGACGTCCACGTGACATCACGAGCTCTGGACTGCCACGTGCTGGGACACGGCCAAAGGAGAGATGACCCATTTGAGAAGAATTTGTAAAAACAAGAGACTATTGTCTAACTCTTAATTAACAAGGAATTCAATAATAACACGACAATAGTTAAAAACTGGCGTCTGTCGTGAAAATGCGTATGACGAAACCACCTTCGCCGCAGCCTCAGGGACGCGAACGGGAGCCCACTCCGTTCCTGCAGAGTCGCATCCCTGTCGTGCCGAGATGCGATCTGAGGGCCTGCTGTCCGTACGTCCTGAGGTTACAGAAAAGTCTCCGTTATCACCCCCCATGCACAGAGGGGCAGAGAGAGGACTTGGGGACGAGGCGGCTGCTGAACTGTCGGGGAGGAGAAACGAACGGAAACAGAGCAGAAACCAGCTCTCCGTGGCAATTTTCCAGGTTCTGGCAAATCGAAAGGCCCAGATGCAATTTCATTAAGCTCGGCTGAGGAGATGCTTCTAGGAGCTGCCGGCAGAGCCGGGAAGAGCAGCCAGGAAGGCAGTGG